CGGTGCCGGTAAATCGAGTATCATGTCCGCACTATTCCGTTTAACTGAACTATCAGGGGGTATCATCAAAATTGATGACATCGATATTTCCACTGTCGGTCTTCACGACCTTCGATCCCGCCTCGCTATCATCCCCCAAGATCCCGCTTTATTCAAGGGCACGATCCGCTCGAATATTGATCCGTTCAATGAGCACAATGACCTCGAACTATGGTCTGCCTTGCGCAAGGCGTACCTCATCGGCCAAGAGGAAGAACTCGAAGGCGAGGAACTGCCAAGCGGGCCAGCCAGCGGAGCCACAACCCCAGTCACAGGCAGTGACGTAAAAGCGCGCCCGACAAAATCACTCACCCTCGAATCTCCCGTGGACGACGAAGGCCTGAACTTTTCTCTAGGCCAGCGGCAACTGATGGCCCTTGCCCGGGCGCTCGTCCGTGACGCACGTATCATCGTGTGCGACGAAGCTACTTCTTCCGTTGACTTCGAGACCGATCAAAAGATCCAGCACACTATGGCTCAGGGCTTCGATGGGAAGACTTTGCTGTGTATTGCGCATCGCTTGCGCACTATCATCCACTACGATCGCATCTGTGTTATGGATAAGGGTCGGATTGCCGAGATGGATGCACCACTTGTGCTGTGGGATAAGGCAGATAGCATCTTCCGTGCCATGTGTGAGCGTAGTGGGATCACGCGTGAGGATATTCTCAGCACTGACTGAGATGATCGATGTTTTGAAATCAGTGCAGAATCTCCACACATCATACATATAAAATACTAAGGCACACCAAAAGTGACTATTAATACAACATACATATCTTTCAATTCTGCATTTCTACATTATCCTCTATAGAACATGAAGAACTAATCATTCCTTATCCAATTCACAGACCAATTCCATTCCCAAATTCTGCATCATCCCTTCAACCCCAGCCTCCCTCCACCCAGCAAGATCCCTCTCATCCAACTGTACCTTCTCTTCCTCCTCCGACAACGTCCCAACAGGCAACCCAGTAAACTTAACCGGCAACCCAGGCGCAGTCCCAACAACCCTCATCCGCAAACCCGTCAAAATACTACGTAGATGATCCGCTGCTTTCCCACCACCCCGCCCACCATACGAAACAATCCCCGCCGGTTTCCCCTTCCACTCGAAGTAGAGATAATCAAGCGCATTCTTCAGACTCGCCGGGATACTCCAGTTATACTGCGGTGTAACAAAAATAAACGCATCGTACTGTCGCACTACGGCGGACCATGCCCGCGTGTGCGCTTTGCTGTAGTGCGGGGTGGGGTCTGCAGCTGGTAGGCTGGCGGGGATGACGGATTCGTCGTAGAGGGGTAAGGATTGCTTTTCTAGATCGAGGATTTCAAAAGTTATGTGGCGCGGGTCTGTGTCGGTTGTTTCGTTGTGGTTTGTTGGGATCGTCGGGTTGGAGGTGAGGACGTCATAGACGTACTGCGTTATCGTGGGGTTGAGGCGCGGGCTGCGCGTGCTGCTGGTGACTATCGCGACACGTTTGGGAGGCATTTTGAGTATGTTGTAAGTAACTCCGGGGAGATATGTATGAATTGGAGAATCCTTTTATAATTATTAGAGGTTTTGTGGGAGCCTATGTTTTCGGAGGTTGCGGAGATAGCCGTTCGGGGAATCGGAATTTCGAAACTCGGTCTTCAATATTTGGTTTACTTACTTATTTATTCTTACCTCCGTCTATTATTGGAATGAATCAGAATAGATTATGACGATCTGTCTAAGGCACAGCGTTATAGGCTCCTACATCCCTCTTCAATTCTAGGGACAGTGACTATATACCAAAGAATTAAGCACACGACATAAAACAATGAGTCTGCCCCTGCGTACCTATCTCTTCCAACGCGGGGTCCGGTCTCCGCAGCCAATTAGCCAGCATATTGGTGCAGTGATCCACATGCTCTAGGTCTCCAAGCATATTATCCAGACGAGCACCACGCATGTGGACATCATGGCCTCGTCTAAGGAGATACAGACAATGGACCAGATGCTCACGAACAGCAGTCCAATAGAAGTCCGGATTATTGCCGAGTTCAGTGTAGTCCTTCATCTGCTGGGTGGCGGCCTCATCATAGAAATAGACAAACGGCTTGCCGTTGTTGAAATGCGCGAACTCGTGCGTAAAGTCGTGCGGACATTCTTTGTGCAGCCAGCAGCCAGCAAGAGGATCGTAGGCGCAGCCGAGAGCTTCAGCCTCCTTGGTTGAGTTGCCGCACGAATATCTTACTCGTGGAGCTGGTGTCAGGCACTGTCGTTGGCCTGCAAGTGATTCGGGGTATGCAAGTGAGTCAGAAGGTGGTCCTTTTATGACAACGACCTTGCGGAAGGGTTCCACGGTGATGGCGGTGATTACAGCGATAACCCCGAGCAGTAGGACCACGAGCAGGCCGGTGATGGTGATTGCAGCGAGGTTTCGTTTTAAAAATTGCTGGAAGCCTCGACGGGGTGGTCTGTTTATGATGGTGGCATCGCTGTCCCCATCAGCATCGCCTTTGGGGACGGGGTCATAGTCGCGAGAGAAGACTTTATCCATCATGACAGAATCAACGAGCGACGACGTGAGAATTTTCTGTGGAATTGAAGAGAAAAGAAAATCTCTTTTCCGTGTAAGAATGGCCAGCAGGTGCACATGACGCTTATTGAGACTGTAGTCTAATGCACAGGACAAAGAGTAGATGAACAGGCGAGATCTATAGATGGCCAGATAGAGATGTCAATAAGGCTCGGGAAGAAATAAACCAATCACAGATTGACTATTGAATAGAGATCATGTTCGAGCGAAGAGTTCAATAAGATCTGAAAAAAATTGTTGGTCCGAAACAAAGAAACCACAGAAACCCCAGAAACCCTAGAAACTCCTTGGCAACATCATCTCAAAGACATCTGTCGCTCATACTCTCACTCTCTTATATTCCCATGCCCTTTGGAGAGCGCTTCATATCTTTAACATAAATGTATTACTGAAAGTATTTATCTATAACCAAAATATGCTTGCTAGACTGAGCACAATATTCAAAGGTCCATCAACAAATTCATCTCGAGCCATATTCACAAAATCCCCGATAAAGGATTCACACCAAAAAGCAGTTTACAACAAGAATGGCAAAAGCAAATGTACAAAGATAGCACAACGCCGACTTCGGGCTCTAGATCTGTCAGCAATCTAGAAATCTAGACAACGAAGACAGTCCGGTTGAGAGACTCCAAGAATGCGGAAGGACCGGCCTACCATTCAACAATTAGTATGCTTGAATTCCAGCGAATGTAAGAGATTTACTTACACCAATCAAAGCCGCATGGGCGATATTAATCTGGCTTTTGCCAAGGGTAGCCGAGGCCGGCACCGTGACCGTGAAGTTCTCATATGGGGGCAGGTTGTGCTCGTGGTACACGGGGTTGAAAGGCCCATTGTATAGAATTGTTCCGAGAACATCATCTGCGTCTCTGCAGGGCGAGGATGCACATGAGGAGAGACCGATTGCTACGCCCATCTCCTTGGACGGACTCAGAGAGTTCTGAATGATAGATTAGTATAAAGGATTGCGGGGAATAAGTTGGAAGAACTATCCCGGACACTTGAACTTACAGGACGCTGAACTTGGATAATTACTTCCTTGCCGGAATTGATTTTCTGGTTCTCGGCGGGGAGGCCGATTGTGGCTGTCTGGGCAATGGCCGCGGCGACGAAGAGAACCATGGAGAAAAAAGACTTCATTTTGATTGGTGGTAAAGAATTGGAGAGTGGGAAATGTGCTTGCAAGACGATGAGATGGTATAAGATGTTCTGTGGTATGGAGAGTTATAAGATGCGATGATCCTGGGGTATTTATATACTCGAAATCTGGATGAAGGGTTCGCCTTAACAGTGAGCCCTGGGATTCTAAAAGCGTCGAAGATGATGATTGGTCGAGTCAGGAAGCCACGGACAGCCGCCTGACGCTAAGGTCAATCGGGAAACTACATTTGGAAAATCCCCTTTATTATAGATTCGCCTTGCATATCGAAGTAAGCAAAGTAACTACGGTCTTACCTTCAACGGTCAGGAACGAACAAGGGCCTGATTTCAAATCTGTTCCCCCATATTATTGGCGAGGTTTTAAGATTTGAGGGTGCATACGGTGGCTGTCTCACATATGAGCTAAGCCCATGATATTTCTTGAGCTATAGCAGTGATCCGAGTCCCCCAAAATAGAATGATCCCTAATGGATAAGTGAGACTGAACAGAGCAAAACTCACCGAATAAGCAAACCTCAGGGACCAAAATTAGAATATCCAAAATGAGATGATAGTTTTTGGTAGCAATTGAAACCTCTTGGTTCATGCCCACGGGACTGAATGGGCCCGTAGAAATTTGTTGACTGTCGTGCTTTTCAACTGTGATCTCTCTCTCCTTTGAGCTTGCTGTGTCCTCCATTTTTCCTACTTCTCATGTTCAGATCGCGGTATTAAGTCCATCTGACATCAGCGTGGTTAGGTCAACAAACCCTTGCCTCCTTTCTAAGGGCTATGTGTGAGCCATCAAGGCGCAAAGTCACCTTACGTTTTGTTTTCCGGTTTTTTTTTTCCCCCTCGTTGATAGAATGCGGCATAACTCTTTATCGTTGGCCGACATGATCTTGTTACTCACTAACCAATCAATTCTAATAAATCATGGAGATGAATTGTTTATATTTTTGCCTGCCATCGTGTTTTCGTATTTATTTCGCCGCTTTAAAAAGGCATGATGTCGCTAAAGAGAAGCGATACAAAACACTCGAAGAGAGTTGCTATATTTCTCGCGCTTATAACAGGCAGAGGAGAGCCATCGTCGAGGACGATCTATTCCCATCTACCACTTTATTCAACACTCTATCCACCACTGTCAGTCATTTCAGTCTTTTTATAGGCAACTCAACAGGCAAGTTTAAAGACATGGGTTCCATAGTTATATTGTATTCCAGGCCAAAGAATATCCCTACAACTACAATGACAATTTACCTGTGATTTCACCCGATAAACTGGGCTGAAGAATTGTCCTATACATTAAGAGCCGAAATTCTAAGGATACAGGGGTGCAGCCTTCACCAACACTTGGACCCGTCACATCCACGACAAATGACGAAATCATCGTCTGGCCCACACAAACCATCAAATCTTACAACGTTCCAGAAACCAAGTTGACAGAAACCTATCCTGCTGGTGAGCCTAAAACCAGCACATTGACAGCCGATACACCCGAACCAACAGACTGGAGCCCTGGGGGGTCCTCCATTTGCGGCACTACTATCGGCGACGATTTGAGTCCTACCTGTAAGGCAGCCTGGGAGAAATACGACGATGATACAGTCTACACGAAGAAGACAAGCAGACATGATTCGACCACCGTTGGCATGGGCTGTACAGCTGAATACTCGTGTTCTGAGGACAGCGATTACACGCCTGGGTTGAATGGAGCGCAGCTAAAGGGACTGTAAGTCATCATATTGCCTCACAGATTGATTCGGTTTTACTAAAGACTTCTCCTTTTCAGCTTTTCGAGTCTTTACGATACTAAAGGAAACGGAACCTCGATTTGTGGTTCCGCTAAGCTATCTAACGGTTGTACAGTGAAGCTTGACTATTGTGATCTTTGCAAGGATTCCAACTAGAGCCGTGTTGTTAGAGCCCGAAGGATTGGTTTTGATTTGAGTTAATTATATTGCACATATGTTAAATTAATTGTTGATATATACTATGATATCATCTTTCAGCATCGCATAAATGTAGCCAAGATAGTACCAAATGAAGACAAAAGACTCATGAAAACGAGAAAATTGCACCATATCCCAACGGATACGTGAGGCAAGTCCAAGGTGCTGTAAATGACATTCGTACATTTCAGGTATTGTTTCTAAGCAGTGTGACAATGATATCTTGCTGTTCTGAATATATTGTCAAGGTCGACTGAAGTGGCAGGTATGAAGGGTCTCTTGTCTGGTCTAGATGGCACTGGCTTGATGAGAGTCTGAACTTGAGATAGATGGGTAAATTACACGTTTTGGCTGTATGAATTCGGGGGGCAGATGGATGGAAGAAACAGAGGCAAATAAATGGCTCTGGAACAGCTGACCAGTCGTCCTCCATTTTGGGTTCTGATTGAGAAGACGTATCCATAGCTGAAGTCTTTATAATAGGAGGATCGCAAGTTTGTTAGTGGATGGAGGAGAGATAGAAGAAATATGTTGAGTGAATGAGGGATGAAAGAGAGATGACGAGTAAAGGAGAAATGATGGAATATATATATAGTAAAGAGAGGGATAGACGTTAGATAGATAATTACTAAAGATATAGAAGATAGTAAGTGAAGGATAAATGATGGAATAAAAATAATGAAGTAAGGAATAGGTACTATAAAAATGATGAGTGAAGGATATCGGCGCAACTTACATTCCCTTCTATTGGAGGGTCTAGGGCTAGGGCATCTTTGTATCGTTCTATCTGATATTATAGGTTTGAATCGCAATAAAAGCAAGCAACAGAAGACAAGATCCCAAAATGACTGACATTACTATTGACATGTCCAAAGAATACCTAAATTATTGATTGTTAATGCCTAAGCCACGCTGAGAGAAGGTAGATAAAGAAAAGGGCATGCACATGCGTCTTGATAATGATATGGAAACAGGCACAGTGAATGGGACAACCCAAACCATACCAAAGATGCTATGGCAACACCGGAACGGTAAGAACGTTCTCATGCAATACGACGCAGAAAAGACAGCGCGAAATGTGCAAAAAAAAAAAAAAAAAAAAAAAGTGACCTAGCTGCATGTAACAGGCTATCTCTAGCCTGATCCATCAGGCATCGCGGTTGTGAACATTGATGATTTTCGTTTCAAAAAAGAACATGTGTAACGCAAGGAATGAACATATCGGCTAAAAAATGTTAATAGTGAACGCGAAGAATGAAATGATAAAAGAAGAACATAAACCCCACTCAACAGAACAGAGGGCTTTAGCCTCCTCACAATAAGAACACTGGAAATCACTCACCTGATTCTTCAAAGCTCAGCCACCTCTCTGACATTCAATTCCGAGAGCCTTCGAAGGCTTTGGGTAAGCTGAACATGTGAATTACAGCTGCCTCTTTTTCTCAGCCTCGACCATTGCTGCAATTAGCGTCTGTCGTCGTCTCCACTTCCTCTTACGCCTCGTGTTTTGTGGATTTCGATAACACTGGCCAACCGGATGCTTTGTGAGACGCCGGTGATAGGGACAGTATTCCTTGGGGGAAATTTCCAGTTGATCCATGTCAGTGGAGATACTATCTATGTCACTCAAGACTGAGTGTTCGGTTCCTAGCCGATCGGCCTCAAACTCCAGGAAATCGGCGTAAGCTTCGTCTAGAATGGACGCCGGTAGAGAACCTTGTTTGAACCGGAGTGACTCAATCCATGGAATGGTGCTGGGATGCACACTGACCGCAGCAAGGAACTGATTGAGGATGAAAACCGTGGGAAGAGCTGGGGGTCCAAAGGCCGCTTTCATCTCTACAAGGGCTCGTTTCCAGGCATTCACAAATGCCTCAGGTGACTTTGATGAATAGTACACGGTGTGAGTCCAGGTCATGAATTTGCGATAAGCAACAAGCCAGCTACGGGAATCTTTCTCCGGAACCTCAACAGGTTCGCTGGAGTAGGAGGCTCCCATGGGGTAATTCGAGTTAGTGTAAGCAAAGTTCAAAGGAGTCGGGGCAAAAAATTGAGAGCTAGGAACCATAGGAACTATCATCGGTGGGCCATATGAAGGAGGTCCCAGTGAAGCAGGCTCAAACATGACAGGGTAAGTTAGCGGCTGTCCGTAAGGGCCACAGGCAACAGGGTTAGGACCAATGGACGGCGGACCGAAGTACTCGGGACCATACTGAGCTGGAACTGGCATTGGAACCGGAACTGGACCTGGAGCAACGGAAGTCAGGCTGTAGTAAACGGGCCGACCCTGAAATTGGGATACCGGATCCCCTGTATCGGAGACAAGCATTTTGACTTCAGTGAGTGTAGTTGTGCGTGGATTGGTCTTGAGTCCCTCCAGGAAATCTTGTCTCATGTATGACGGCTTGTGACGACAGCGTTGATGAACGTAGATTGAATGCTAAAAAAAAGAGATGACTGGACTCTTTAGAAAGTCAGAAGTTGTTCGAGTAGATGTAAAGAAGTCGACAAAGATAGGTCGGGCTGTGGATATATATGGTTTGTTAACGCGCGGGAATATAACACGCGGGGATAGAGCGCGCAGGATAGAGCGCACAGATTTAAGCATAGAGCGCACAAGGATAGAGCACATAGCATAAGGATAGAGCACATAACGTAAGGATAGAACGTGCGGAGATAGGAATATGATGCCTTATTATGATTGGCATCTTGGCTTTGCTATAAAAGCCGAATTATGCGACAGCATCGGGCAGCTGCAGGCACCGGAGCTCCAGCTGATCGGCATGAACCAATGGATTTCCGGATAAATTCCAGATAAATTCCAGAAGTATTCTGGGAAATTCTGGATTAATTTAGCTTCCAGGGTTTATTTGGGGCAGTGAATTCCATGGTCCATCGTAAAAATCCTAAAATGATGAACATAGTCCAGAGTACTCCGTAGTGATCCGGAATAATCTCGGACAGATTTAGGGTAAGCAGAGGTCTACCAGAAAAGGAAAAAAAAGGAATTTATAGCAGGGTAAGCTCGGATAATCTAATATAATGGAAGTTGTATCATTCAATATCAAACAGCTGCAAAAGGCCGTTCCAATGAATCCAACAAAGCCACATGGGAAAGAACGATGGGGGTGGAACCCAATCGTGATCTGATAGCCACCCATTTTGGCACGTTCCACATCCCCCTCTCCACATCAATTATGTTACTTTGATCACATTGTATTTTCGGTTTCTTAAGATCAAGGTTGGGAATATATTTACTTCTGCCCGATACAATTCTATGATCAAACATGCCACTTTTGTTCCTGGACGATCTTTTTTTGACGGGATCCGCCCGATCGTCGTACCCTCACTACTTTACCTATCCCACCTTAGCTCTATAAGTCATCTTCGAGAGTCAGAATGGACTCTTTCTCTCCTCGAGATTTCCAGGAGTGGGTAGATCGACGCCAAAGCACTCACTCTGCCTCCACCGTGTCGTCTGCGTCAACAAGTGTCCTCTTCCCGAGCCCGGCGACATCTCCAGGGTCCAGCTCGAGGAAGCAATCCTGGCAGTCCTACAATGATGTCGTGCGACTCGAATTGACTCCTTCCGTGCAAATGTCTGTGCTGAGAAGAAGGTTCCTGTCAGATCAGAATGTGCGCTGACTTGTTTATAGTTCATTTGTCAAAAATGGCCAGCTATTCAAACTGAAATACACATTCATTGACATTTGCAAAGACTCAACGGGCGCGTTGAGGTGTCTCGAACTTGGGGGAGGATTAGGCCAGCAAACACCTTTTATCCACGGCTGTGAGTTGTCTCCCATATTTCCAAAAGATAACATGCTGACCATTCAAATCATGCCTAGTCTCCAACACCAAACTGCCAGTTCCTCACCTAGAGCATCCAAAATCAGGCGACGATTACCCTCTCCGCGTGTCCTTTATGGACCAGCAAACTATTCAAACGGCAAGCACGGTATTCATGACACAACTATCATATAAATTTGATCACTGGGATGGTACGCGACCGCTAAACCTCGGAGAGTCAACATTTGCTGACACCCGCAGATTGTGTACGATTCCAAGAACTACTACTAGGCTCCAAGTTGATTTTTATCGGCGGAATGGCTGAGGCTAAGTCTAAAGGCCGGGGTGAAGAGTGCATCAGCCAAAATCTTCGCATCCTCCGCGGGCATAACGGGAAACGAGTGATGCTGTTCTTTGCCAACTCGCAACGGAGGGAGCTCAAACGATACATTTCCATTCCCTGTAAGTGTTTTGCTTCTATCCGGGCCCAGATCCCCTACCCCTGTCCCAGTGACGGTGCTAACAACCCTAGTAAATTGCATCGGTTCGATCAAACCCCCGAAGAAGGCCGGACGACCAGCCCTACTTGAGCTGAATCCGAACTTCGAGATTCTGTCTCAAATGAGAAATCTTACGATTCAGTTCCTTGACGATGATGGTCAGTGCACATTTTTTTTTAAGTTTTGCACATTTTAGACTATTGGCTTATTCTTCTCTTTCTTTTCCAGACTGCACAGCATTTTGTCAGATGTTGTCATACGACCTGACGATTGGATGATTAGTTTACGAGGACCGATCTATTATAAATCCCTCAGGTCTGTTACGATAAATTTTTACATGGAGTTGGAGTTCCTGGATAAATTGGGGGCCAAGAATATGTATCATGTACATAATACCAAGATACCCCTGGGCGTTACATCTTTTGAGACATAGAATTGCATCCACGTGAGAGCGGGTTAATGAAATTGGAATTCATTCTTTTACTGGCTAATTAGAATAAAATAGCTCATTTACCATGAGAAATATACTTCGTAACAAAAAGTAATATTCAATTCCAAGGTTCAAGATGTCTCATATAAAGGGGATAAAGGGAACAATAACCCTCGTGGTTGTCCGTTGCCTGTGGGTCCCATTTTAGGACGTCGACAAGTCAAGCATCAGAGATGCCGCACGTGGAGAAAACAACCCTAAAGCTTTGGCTCGTTCCAAGGTTCGCCGCTTAGTCTCACATTAGCGTGTACAGGGATCACGGGCCTCCTACAATCTGTAACTCTTGGGTTAACCTTGTAAGTCCCGGGTCTAATCTAAGTATCTTTCTATTCTTTGAAATGTAGAAATCTTCAGTCTTTCAACTTTCTACTATTCACTATGGGCAAATTCCACGCCCGGTTGTATAAGACCGACCGCGCGCGGGACTTCGACCATGAGCAGGTAACTATGGAGTCCCCCAGCTTGATGGGCAACATGGCATGCAAGATTGTTAATAGTTTGGTTATAGGATCGATATGTCCGCATGCGACAGATCTACGAGACCATCGACAGGCAAAACTTTCAATGGATCGTGGTGCTAGTCGCTGGTCTTGGGTTCTTCCTCGATGGTTACACAGTGCGTTACCCCCACCTTCCACGCGGAATATTACTATTGGAAATGTCGTACGACGCATATAAAACATCGACTAATACTTGACATAGTTATTTGCCAGTAATATGGCCCTACCGATGATCTCCTATGTCTACTGGAGAGACGAAACTTCCTCATTACGACTCACATGCATCAATATCGCGACACTTGGGGGAACCCTGCTGGGCCAAGTGACATTTGGATTTCTAGCCGATAAAAATGGGCGGAAGAAGATGTACGGTGTTGAGTTGGTACTCCTCATTACAGCCACTTTGGGTGTGGTTATGTCCTCGACAGGCGTGGATGGCAGCATGAACGTCTTTGCTTGGCTTATTTGGTGGAGAATCTGTGTTGGTATTGGAGTTGGCGCGGATTATCCACTCAGTGCAGTGATCACATCTGAGTAGGTCAATCGGTCTCGGAATCTTCAATCGTGGAGGGAAAACTGACCTTGAAATGTTCAGATTTGCCCCTACCAAACATCGCGCTCGCATGATGGCCAGCGTCTTCTTCATGCAACCACTCGGTCAGATCGCAGGTAACATTGTCTCATTGGTTGTGATCGCGATAGCTCGGGGTAATAGCCGCCCGGGTGAAGACATCACCCGCACTGTCGATATAATGTGGCGCTGGGTGATCGCCATCGGGGTCGTACCGGGTGCAGTCGCTACTCTTTTCCGGTTCGCCATTCCAGAAAGCCCCCGTTACCTAGTCGATATCGTGGACGATCCCGTCACTGCAGAGTTTGATGCAACCACGCTTTTCAGCGACACGCCCGGTATTATTGATTCTATGGGCTGGGGAACCACCGCTACATGCAGTGCCGGTAGCGCGATTCAACTACCCCCGATTTCATCCATTGCTAGCCACTCGACCTTTGATCATGATGACAATGATGAGTACACCCGCCTACCTTCCGCTACTCTCAACTCTCACTGGCGCTTGGCACGTACCGACATTATGCGGTACTTCTGGACAGAAGGGAACTGGCGCAGCTTGGCTGGTTGCTCTCTCGCATGGCTCCTACTTGACTTTGGCTTCTACGGTATCGGATTGTCGAGTCCTCAATTCTTAGCCAAGACGTGGGGCCAACTTAATATCTCCGAGGCGGCACCGGCCTGGATGACTGACGATACACCAAATGCCAATATCTACACGATGTTCATGGAAACCTCTGTGCGCGGGTTGATTATCCTCAATGTCGGAAGTTTTGTCGGTGGCATGCTGCTTATTATCTTTGCCCATAAGCTGGATCGTGTTGCACTGCAAAAGTACATGTTCCTCGCACTGGCGGCTCTGTTTATCGTCCTGGGAACCATGTTCGTAACTCTTTATACCGGCCCTCCTACTGTGGTGGCATTGTATATTATTGGCCAGATCATGTTCAACTTTGGTGAGTTGAGCCCAGGATACGACACGTTGAATCATTCTAACCAACCATCCACAGGCCCCAATGCAACAACATATATGATCCCCGCTGAAATCTTCCCAACTCGATACCGCGCAACATGTCACGGCATCAGCGCTGGAGCCGGAAAACTGGGCTCTATTCTCGTACAAGTCTTCTCAACATACTATCACTTTGGTTCAGGCCCGGGTAACACAGCAACCCGCAAGCACGGCATTGTTCTCCTTGTTTTCAGCGCCTGCATGGTCCTCGGCGCAGCCGTCACTCACTTTTGGATTCCTCCAATTCAACAAAGACAGAATGGACGAACCAAGCTTTGGGGTGGTAAGCCCGAGACTCTTGAAGGCATGTCTCTTGGCCGAATGGGCCGCAAGAGTCGAGATGCCGATTGTCGGAAACGGAAATCACGGCATCGGGCACTTTCAATGAGTGCGTAGGTATTCCAACTCTCCATGCCTATCGTTAATTATTCTTTTGTATAAATTTTGAATCTCTGTTATTTGCATTTGGGGGTCCCGGCTACATGAATATAAACCATTATACGCTCTTAGTCCAATGAAAATCCAATGAAATGAACTTTATAAATACATTCACAATTCAACGTCAAGAGCGATAACCATCAAGCAACCGCCCCGTAGCCACCTCATCAAGATAAAGCGCAACATCCATCCCCCCATCTCGAACCGCACTATCCATGACCTGAACACACCCATCCATCTTAGGCATAACAGCATGCACATAACGTGGCTTATCCCCACCCACAAAGTCAACCTCATACAACCGCAGCCGCAACCAGGAGGTAACAATCGTATGTTCAGACCCCAAAAACGCCTGCCACAGCCGCTGCGGCGACACCTCATGAGCAGCATCATGCAACATCGCACCCACAGCATCCGCCGTAAACCCCTTCATCGTCTCTCGGATCCGACTAGCCGTCTCGCCTAATATTGCCCGACATACTGAAGAAGCGGCCCCACCAACGTGAGTCAAAAACAGCGGGGACCCGATGAACGTATCAGGAAGAGCGGGGGAAACACGCGGCCGGACGCCGAGGCTTAAATTCATATATACGGGTCTTGGAGAGTCGGCTTGTCCGCGTGCTTGTGTAATGGTTCTCCACAGGTGTGCGAGTAAAGCGTCCAGTCTAGAGATATCACGTCGGCTGCCCGGGCCATCGAGGGCCATGGCTTGGAATTTGCGTAGCTCTTCGCCCGTGAAGTGCAACTGTGTGTATCTGACTCTCTTGGAGAAATCCCATGAAGCCCAGGGCGCTGGTTCTGAGGGCGATACTTGTTTGTGGTTGATTTCTGCGGGCGGCGGTTTGGAATTCTCTGTTGTCGGTGTTAAGAATGGCGGGCCGCCCTCATTGACTGCATTCCACCAGCTATACCGATGCAAGGGCAATTTTCGCGCGGTGTTCACGATGGTTTGGTCGGGCTCGGACCCATCGATATCACCTGCGGCGCAGCTGTCCAGCAACGCGGGATCGAACACGGGCTCGCCCATTAATGGTGATTCGGACTGGTTTCCAAATTGCTTTTTGCTATTATATGCCCATAAATGCATAAATACCATTAAAGTCTGTGCATCTGCTAGACAGTGCGCCATCTGAATTCCGATGACGTAGCCCCCTTCTCGGAGAAGAGTGAGTTGAACTTGCACCGCTGGCAGACCGACATAGTCGCGCAGATTGGCCAATGCCAGTGGGCTAGATGGTAGGAAGAGATTTTGGTTGAAGTCATCGCCTACCCATGCTCCGGGTTGAGAGCCGGTGGTCGATGAAGATGAAGCCCGTTCCTGCGCTGTCGGGACGATTTCATCTGCTCGGAAGGGATGCTCGATTACTGTCCATTCAACACCTGGGTCGGTATCAGTGCCGTACACAATCTGTGGACGATTAAACCGCTCTGTGTGGTTTCCTTTGGGGTTGACGGGTGCCCATTGGAGTTGGCCTGCCCATTGGGGGAATTTTGATAGGGTTTCAATGAAGGAAGTTCGCAAATTGTCGACCAAGTTCTTCTGGTCTATGTCTGTGGGTTGGTTGAAAATCCAAATTCCTCCTGTTGGAGTAAAGCGCACCACTGTTGCGTCGAGGATGGACAGGGGTGTTGATGTTGGTGTTGGCTGGTTGGCTGGTCGCAGCCTTGTGGATTCGATGGTCATGTTGTATGTGCACGTGAATTATGTTCTATATCAGTGAGTTTTTAGATCAATCTCATTCATTTTATCTTTCTGAATTTATGAGTCAATATGCGTCACGATGTGTTACTGTGTGTCAACCCCACGCTAAGCTTCTAGTTGCTTGAAACTAACACAGAAGACCCCGTTCAAGACTGCCCCCACATTTTATAGATCAAGTACAGGCTGAATATACATGGGATTATCTAAATTATGTAGTTACAAATTCAACTCTACCAGGCCTGATATTGTGCCCAAATTTCTGGGAGCTTCAGACATAAGTGGGGAATGTCGTCAGATCGCGTTCACCGTCTCTTCGCGCTCAAATTTACCACTCACGACATTCATTTCAAAACAATGCTACTAGGTCTATCAAATGAGCGGATGTTGTTAGTAGCAGAAAATCTCGATTTGCAGATTATATATGCTTTTATTCAAACAACAACCACAAAAAGAGCGATCGTAGTGCGAAACAAATGCATTCCTGCAACAGTACTTGTCATTATGCCTTGGGGCGTTTCAGCGGGTGCCCTCCAGCGTTGAAAACAAACTCATCCAAACTAATAAGGTCTGGAGAGCTGAACATGAGATAAAAATATTTGAGTGTCTGTGACATCCACATGCTGTCCATCGAGTCTTTAAAAGTCAGTTCGCTACCCTCATCCGTGACAGCACTGATAGCAGCATTGCCATTCTTCGTCTGCGTCGCACTTTGCATCGCCTGGAAGATATCCCACGCTGCATCGAGTAGATCCTCACGTCCACTAATCCGGTACAGGGTAAATATGCTCTCAATCGCTTCCGGGCGCAAGTTATAGGCAGTGTCCGAGATTCCGATGAACCCGTTGGGCAGACGGTATTCTTTGATGAACTTATCGACATTCAGAGTTGGATTTGGTTCTGGCTCGAGGCTGTTTGCCTTTTTCCAGACCTCTTGCTTCCAAAGCCACTCGCTCCATGGGCAGTTTATCTGCGACGCACATGGAACTACATCAAAGGCTTCGGGCATAATCCCCAGTGGTACGACCCGATGAGCCCAAATGCATCCATCGACCAACTTACGGGCGATTTCTTGGTGGGTGGGGATGTTGAGTAGTGCGCCTCCTAGTGCAAACATACCCCCCGCAAAACAAGATCGGTATTGCATTTGCGACTCTAGGTGTGTTTGCGAATTCCCATTCTCTGTCATGGCCACTCGAACAGTGCCAGAAAGGAGCATATCCTTACCCTCGGGGTTCATTGGTCGGAATATATTGTGGCCTGCGGCTGTAAGCGTGGCATTCTCATACATCTTGCGATACATGGGAACTTTCCCTCCTAGCAAAGCGTATGCCCAGGGTAGCGACTTGTACAGAGAGCTTGCTTCAGCGCCCAATGTGAAGGTATCGTCATCGAAAAGCTCGTCTTTGGCATTCACAGACACAGGCCACAACCCTGCTAGTTTAGTGGCATCCTGTTGCTTGTCAAACAATTCCATGACCCGTTGGGCTGCGTCGAAGTATTTTGGGTCACCGGTGATCTGAGACAACCTTGTGAATTCCAATATGAACGAGCCTAGTTCCGCACCGAGTACATTCTCCTCCGCAAGCTGCTCCTCTCGGTGGGCAGCTTTATTTGCATTCCAATGTATGATCGGCATTCTGTTTGGGGTATCAAAGGCAGCGTAAAGCATATCGCCCAGCTCGATGGACTTTTTCAGCAATTTCTGATCAGCGCTGAGATCGAATGCCGCCAGCAGGCCTCCGAGTAAATGGATGCTGACATCATGGGTATTAATTTCGGGGGACTGTGCATCTTCGAACTTGATATTTGCGACCGCAGCCACGGCCTTCTTGAATTCATCGTGCATCCCCATAATCCACAGTGTGTCAAGGTTGTCAATTAGGGTAGCACCCCATCCCCCCAACCTATTTTTAGAACTACCACTGAGAGGCGCAAGCTCATCTGCGCCCCAAGCAAGCGACTGGTATGACTTCCAACATCGTTCGAAGGCTTCTTTCGTAGCCGACTGTCTGGTAGTTTGGCGATCCAAATTAAGACGTGATACTTTGGAGTCTGCCGATTGGACCTTGGGTAAGGTCTGGGGCAGCGTGATGGGTAGTGGCTGGACTTCAGGAACTGGGTATCGCACGGGTATTTTTCTCCATAAATATTTTGGGTTGATTTCAAAATTCAGAATGACTTCAGGTGCAGCATGTGGAGTGGTCGAAGGAAGAATACCGTCGTTTGTGCGATGATAGCGGAAAAGCAGGAGCAATAAGAAAGCCCCAAGGCAAGCGCCTAGAATCTGACGCCGGATCCGACTCATGATTATTTCAGGTTATAATCACATCAACATATTGCAGTAAAGATATTATGGTCAACATGGGTGACTAGCGACAGAATCATTAAGGGAAGGAGGGACACGAAACTTTCCCCGCGTTTCGACTACAGGGGATTCAGCCCTAGAGCCCTAGAGATGTAGAAAGTAAGCTTGTGGGAATTTTCCAAAGGTGGTAGAAGGATTTAATCTATTTGAAAATTTCGTGATGCCCTGTCGTTCTAGACTCAGTTCTAAGTTCTATCGTCTACGCTTTGTCCTACTGCTACTGCCAAGCATATATTTATCTGCCCAGTCTTTCATGGGCTAAGCTTTAATTATGTTAATGCCAATTAGAAGTAAAATATTCTATAATAGAATATCTCTAAAAGTACTATGAACTTGTTCAAATATTAAAGAACAATGTAATACACAAGACCATTATGCTCCACTACGGGAAATTACGTCGGGTAGAAACACCTTAGAAACACCCTAGAAACACTCTAGAATCCGAAATGGAAATTAGACCGAGACCGAGACCTGGACCTGCTGACATAACACGCTGCAGCGACAAATTAGGCCAATTGCGTTTAAAGGACACTATACGTACCATTTTTCCTCTAGGGCTTTGCTATCTTAGCTGCCGCCGCTTTTATAGAGGGCGCTCAGAGTCAGGCTCAGTGAGGAAATTTCAGTCCGGGCTTTTAGAATCCATCTTGCTTCTTATGTCCTCTGGTTCCTGTATAAAAGCAGAAGTTTACTATGACTCTGGCGAAATTGCTCATGCCCTAGGCCTTATCAATACGCCAGGCCCCGTATTGTCGCATCATATGTAAAGGAAGTTGGATCGGGCCAATGAATATTGATTGATTATTTAATTGAAAGAAACCTTACTTTTCAGACATAACTAGTCACTAGTTAGGTAGTTAACTATCGGCCGCCGTATAACGTCACCGTCTTATCTTCGACAAGATACCCGTGACATGCCTAACACAATGGGACACACCTTCGGAATTCCCTTCCCAGGTTCTTCTTCCCCATCATCTACCTCATATTCCATCTGACAGCTGATTGCTCTTAAAGGGAAAGCCAAGGGAAAGCCAAAACCTAATATAGGAAATCCGGTACAGAGGAATGTGTTCACACGTAAGGTTGTGGATTGTTGCAGACAAGACATGGATTTCGATGTCAGAGCTCTAGTTAATGTGAACTACACCCACATATATAGCCTAAGGATCGTTGTTTGCCAGTCTGAAAGTTTTTCAGAGACAGGCCATATCTTTCTTAGGTGTAGGCTTGCTCATCTCGGGTTATCGCTGAAACAAACCCAACAACATGGAAAAGGATGGGTATACTTTATTAGTGGTATGGAGGAAGAAGAACAATTAGATTTAAGAGGGATGGATACGAGACTTGAACTTTCAGGCATCCTTTGATACGATATTGATACACATCTACCATTCTATTACTACAGCAAAGAAGTGGTTCAAAGGGCCCGAAGGGCAAAAGTATGTGTTGGTTGCATTGATAGTAAATCCAGATTGCCCGGGCTAATTTTACCTAAGCCTTGAGCAAAAGAAGAGAACCTCACCCCAACTTCACAAAACGGTCACTTCTCCTCACATCAGCGTCCTCAGCGTCCCTCCTCATCCGACATATAAGAGACTACACCGGGCTCTTGCTGTGGCTACTGACCCGGTCTGTCCTCCTTATGCGGCTTGCCTGGGTAGAAACTATGAGCTACTGAGGCGCTCTGAATTGCCGAAGGCAGAGAGCTAGGAATGCGGCTTCCTCCTCGGTGATAACTTCACCAATGAAGGTAAAGTCGGGGCCAGTGCCCGAGGCAGAGGTACCAGGCGCAGTTTCCAAGTTTGGCTGAATACCACGGGAGACTGATTGGCTTCATTAGCACATGGATGTGATTCTGCTCGACAAGATGACAAGACATGCCTCCCTTCGCTTTCTTCGCTTCCTTTGCCTTCTTCGCTCTCTTCGCTCTGCCACCTCGAGAACCACGGCGGGCCTTCTTTTTTTCGATCTGATGGGTTCACATCCAAAATCAATATTTCCCTTTCGTATGGAGGATATGCCTGTGTGGATCTTACGGGATGGGTCACAGGCACGCGGTTCATGACCGGTAATCCGGGCAGGACATGGCAATTAGCCAGATCGTGACCGGGAAGGCGGCAGTACGTGCAAATGGTCTACCGCAGTTAGTGTATTTTCCAATGATTCATTGACGTGTAATTATGTCTGATTTGGGTGTATTCCAACCACGCATGAAGACCCATTGAAGTCGTAGAGAATGGGTTGGGATGATGGCTTCATGGGATTAGGTCCACGGTTCCACTTACTAGAGGACGTTCAGAATCAGCCATGGTGCAAAGATCAATAGATCACCAATTTTGGTTGACTAGACGCGAGAAGAGAGGTCGATGCTGGGAGTGGGCAGAGTTGTTTACAAGAAAAATTGCTCTTGCACGGTTTGAAGTACTCCAGGCGTTCTTCATTCCTCGATACACGTCCCAGGGTTCCTTCCCACACAGCATTTACGTCAAACTTGGAAGATACCTGGGCATTTCTAAGCCTGCAAAGCCAAATTTCTAAGTCTGTGAAGCTAAAGCTATGTAGCCCTGGAGGTAGTAGATATGACAAAAGCTCTGCACGCTCAAAACTCGCCGTTAAACATAGTACTTAAAGAACTTCGGAATCATAATCAGAGGGGAAAGCACTATGTGTAGGAATTTCTCTGGTCGTATTCAAGTTGAGGCTTAACCACGGTGTCTCTCAGCATCTCCTTGGTGATTGGTGTGAGCTTGTCCATGCTGCTCTAGCCGTCCTCTAGCCGGGGGCTCGTCAGTTGGGTAATATATCCACATTGTGTTCGTATCATATATTGAATGTTAAAATGAGAAGAAGTCTAAGAGACAGTAGATATTGAATCAAGTATAATCAGCAGACGCGACCGCTTCAGACAAGGGAAGTTCAAGATCGCATTGTTTCGAGAGCCAAGAGAACCCTGGCATCGGACGTGACGATGTGGGGAGATTTATCCGTTTGGTGGTTTAAATAGATTCGAGGGTATGAATTAGACTTCTACGCGGGATGTGAAACAAAATCGACAAAAGAAGTCAATTAGTATCAAGAGTAAAAAAAGTAGAAAAAAAGTAGGAAAAAGTAAAAAGAAATTGTTGTGCATCATCCGTGAATCGAACACGGGCCTCGTCGATGGCAACGACGAATTCTACCACTAGACCAATGATGCTAGTTGATGTAATACAGATCATTCTTATTCAACATATTCCTAAAAAGCTATTTCCCGAAAGTAATTCTCCAATCTTCCTAGCTGAAATACATAACTTTGATATTATTTTCGGAAAATCAATCGTCAATGGAGATGAAAGCCTCTTCGACTCCTTTGAAGAACAATTCAATGATCAGAAAATGTATCTGTGTATAGCATTACATATCAGGAAAAGAGCTTGGGTTATATATATTTCAGATGGCTGGCTGCCCCATTTTACAGATACATGAGTAGTAGCATACAACGACGAACATCGCTTATAGCCGAAAGTCGTCCACAATCATACATATCACACCAAGCACTAATTCGCTAATCTCATTTTTGTATGTACCTACATACGGAGAATTGAGATTTTGAACAATTCTGTACTTAAATAGGCTTTTCAGTCCAGTCTTAAAACAACCGAATTCTATAGACCAGTCGTAACCTATAACCTACTATAGTAAATTGAATACTAAAAGTGAGCTAAATCAATAAAGTAAAGAATTTCATAACGAGGTGGTATTAATAGATCAAGACCCCGGGGACTAGGTAAACTAGGGGCCGAACTAGCTCTGCGTTCTGCAGTTCATACTAGTGAAACCGGGCGCCTGGGCATTGTCTGTGTTTTCAGAAGGCGGGGTTGTGAAATAAAAAGTGAGGGGTTGTTTCCCATTGTATCTCTGTATTTCGTGTCAGCCCCCCAACATACCCCCTATTCAAATCACCCTAAATCAACATGGAAACCCCCAATGACCTACCGCCATCGCGAGAGCGAGTTGTGCCGGGTTCTTGCAACATCGAACTTGGCCAATTCCCGAAGACCATGTCGGAGTCCGAGTCGGATCTCCCCTTAGACCCGAACGCTATTGCGGAAAACATCATCAACCAGTTAAACCTGGGTCTCTCAGCCAGAGACAAGGCAGCGGTTGCATCACTGTTCCTCGATAATTGCTATTGGCGCGACCACCTGTGTTATTCGTGGGACTTTCACACCCTCGAGGGGAGTCAAGCTATTGCCGCCTTTGTCACAGAGGCACCAAACAGTAAAATCGAAATCGACCGATCGTCTGACTTCAAGTCCCCACACAAAGCACCCATTGATTCCTTTGGTGATGTTTTCGGAATCGAATTTTATACTAAGGTCACCACTGAGAATGGACAGGGAAATGGTGTTATGCGATTGGCGGAGCATGATGGCAAGTGGTACATTTTTACCGTCTTCACTTCTATGGTCGAGTTGAAGGGCCACGAAGAGAACAAGGAGAGGCCGTTTGGTGTCCAACACGGCGAACAGCAAGGTCGAAAGAACTGGAAAGATCGACGTATTGATGAGATCAACTTTGAGGGGAAGGACCCGGCGGTGTTGATCGTTGGTATGTGCAGACAAAGCCTTCTCTAGAAGTATAAAATCTGACTTGACAAATGAAGGTGCTGGCCAGGGTGGTTTGACTGCTGCAGCACGTCTCAAGATGCTCCAAGTGGACACCCTCATCGTCGACCGAGAAGAGAGAGTCGGAGACAATTGGCGTCAGCGATACCACCAGCTCGTTCTCCACGACCCAGTGTGGTACGACCACATGCCCTACCTGACTTTCCCGCCCGACTGGCCTATCTATACACCAAAAGATAAGCTAGCGGATTTCTTCGAAACCTACGTGAAGTTCCGAGAGCTCAATGTTTGGACCCAAACTGAGATCAAATCGTCATCCTGGGACGAGAACAAGAAGCAATGGACGGTTGTTCTTGAGCGCAAGACAGCCAACGGAACTGAGACGCGCACCTTGCACCCACGCCATGTCATCCAAGCTACCGGTCACTCTGGCAAGAAAAACCTGCCCGTTTTCAAAGGGATGGAGGACTTCAAGGGAGATCGCATGTGTCACAGCTCGGAACATCCTGGCGCGAATTCCGAGTCAAAGGGTAAAAAGGCCATTGTCGTTGGATCTTGCAACTCGGCAAACGATATCGCCCAGGACTTTGTCGAGAAAGGCTACGATGTAACCATGGTACAGCGAAGCTCTACCTGTGTGGTATCCTCTGACTCTACCTTGAAAATTGCCTTCAAAGGGCTCTATGATGCGACCGGTCCTCCAACCGAAGACGCCGATCTTTATCTATGGAGCATCCCATCGCGCCTGTTCAAAGCGCAACAGGTTAAAGTCACAAATCTCACGAATCAGAACGACGCAAAGACCATTGAAGGACTGGAAAAGGCTGGCTTCAAGGTCGACAACGGACCATCGGATAGCGGTCTATTAATGAAGTACTTCCAGCGCGGAGGCGGGTACTACATTGATGTCGGTGGAAGCCAGCTTATCATCGATGGGAAGGTCAAGGTGAAGCACGGACAGGAAATTAGCCAAGTTCTCCCCCATGGACTTCGGTTTGCGGATGGCTCAGAGCTCGAAGCTGATGAAATTGTGTTCGCCACTGGGTATCAGAATATGAGAACCGAGACTCGTGTGATCTTCGGTGATAAGGTCGCTGACAGGGTTGGTGATATCTGGGGATTTGATCAAGAAGGTGAAATGAGGACTATTTGGCGACGGAGTGGTCACCCTGGATTCTGGTTCATGGGTGGGAACCTCGCTCTGAGCAGATACTACTCACGTCTGCTGGCATTGCAGATCAAAGCGCTGGAAGAGGGGTTGACTACTTGGTAGTTACCTACTGAGAAGCGGGGTTTTGCGCTTGCGATGGGACCAGCGAGAAAAAGAATACTTTCAGCCTAAGCATGTCCATCTATGGCTGCAGCCGGTCTGTGACAGCAAATTAAATACAAGCACTAGTAGCCAAAGCGCTTTCGTATCCATCGTTTAACATCCTATGGAGTTTCGATTGAATATGGGAAAGTAGTAAATTGGGAGAAATATTCGTATAATCTAGAAAGTCTTCAAGGTACCCTAGGTATATACATATTTCCCCTGGGTGATTAAAACCAATCAACCCAGCCACCCTTCCTGAGAAGCCACAGTGACACCCAACGTCAACACAAGGTTATACACCCAAGTCTCCAAATCCGTGGAGCCCTCAGAAACAGGCTCCGTCAATTCCAAACAAGTGCGAAGATGATCCAAAATCGAACTCTTCTTCACGGAAATATCGAATCCAGCCCGAGTCATCGTGGCAATGCGACTCTTCCGACGCGCCTTGCGGTCAATCGCCATGAGAACGAATTGTTCGTTATCTGAAGACCCGGAGAGTTCCCGTTTCTCCCACTGCATAATCATCCGACACTGCTCGGTGTCGGTCGTGTTATCTTCCTTTTTAATGACGAATCTGTAGCTAGTGCCTTTCTCAGAACCTGCTGAGCTGGGACTGGCTTGCCAGATGCATCTTGTGTTGCGGAAGTGGATTGATAATGATATGGGGTTGTCGTTGCTTGATGATTGGCACATTGCAGCGACGATATCCTTTTCTTGGATATTGTATGATTGTGTATCTGGTTCTTTGGGGTGGTCTTGTTCATTCGGCTGTTTATTGGTGATATATGGTTCATTGATGGTTGCGTAGATATCCCTCGCACCGAGCTTTGGGCGCTGCGGGAAACCCCTTGTCAATTTTGACTTGCAGAGTGGTGGTTGCCATATCTCTACCACAGGTACTGGTCGGTGGTTTGTAGGTAGTTGTTGGATTTGAAGGAGTAGTTTGGGACTGAGTCGAAGTAGTTGACTTGATTTTGGGGGTGGCCGAGCTATTTGGAACTTGGCTTGGATTTTGGTGTTGACAGGTTGTGATGATGGTCTGGAGATGAATTAGACATAATTCTCAGTATAACGAAAGAGCCTATATGCGCTCTTCGAATTATTTTTACATACCGTTCTTCGCTTGTTGTGTCGCTATCATAGTTTGGCATGGTATCTGGGGACTCCATGGCAACGTCCATATTGTTCTCTCTCAAGAATTGAAGAGTTAAAACAACAAAAAAAGGAGGAAAGGTTGAGATTTAAGAGCTGAAACCTGTGAGCTAAAAAGTCTCAAAGGAAGTTCTTGGTATAAGTACATGTAGCTAGTCAGCCTTGGCCATACGGCCGTACTCGTATCAACGTGCACGAGCCAGGGAATGCGGTGGATCCAGCAAATCCAGCAAATCCAACAAACCTGGATACTAGTACGAGTACGGGGGGGTTTATGGTTAAAAAGACAACCCGATCTTGGCTGCCTGGGACATTTTGACACATACGGAGTATAAACCTATTGCATCTGTGCCGTCTTCTGAAACTCTACAGGCTAGGCATCTACAATTTTTCGAGGCCGCGGGTCCAAGGCTCTCCCAGGCATATTTTTAAGGCATTGCAATATTAGTCCACTGCATACTCCGTAGTTACTCCATTCGGATTAGGTAACTTAGGTAACTTCCAAGGTTGGCCATAGTTAGGGGTTTGTGGATCGTCGTTTTAATGTTCGGACGGAGAGTTTTCCGAGCGGCCGACTGGGTAATTCACAGCCTCAACCAGCCCTGGCAAATAACCACACCCCTGACGAAATCCTAGTTCGAATGTATATAAATGGCCCCACAAAATATGATCAAATGTTGTTGACAAGTGTTTTTGAAGCTTGCCGACAAAAAAAGCTTAGGAGTCGGCGCCTTATAGTACCGAAAGCCGTCTGACGGTCCAAATTTCCTCCGCAGCGGATGATCGGAAGTCCGTTCGGGATTTAGTTATGCATAGCATCATTTATAATAATGTAGACCCTGAGTGCCCTCCAGGGCTGTGATTGAAGATCTGTGGAGTCGAACATGCTTTTTTTTGCCAATATTACGGGCATTGGGATGTTTCACGTTTCTTTGATTATTGCAGGCCGTCGATCATCATATCTTTTCTTCCATCCGTGATCCAGCCCCAAGACTCGCCCTGTTACGATGCCCTTCAGGGTTAGGATTTGTATGATGACCCACATGAGTACGAGTAGCAGCAAAAGAGCGGTGGAAAACACATTGAAGGCAGGGGAATCCATAAGCCTCCCAAATTCAACGGCAGCATTGGTAAAAGTACCCTGGAGAAATCGAACCGTTAGAAAACCTGCTAAAAAAAACTAGGGAAAGCAACCCACTTACCCACGGAAAAACCACAGACCACACAGACATGGTGAACCGTGACTGCTTCCAGCCCCTCGGTTGTGTGTGCAGAGTATAACATATAGTTAGGATGGCAAAGAACCACCAAAAGACCCCATACCCCCAGACAAGAAGACCGGTGAAATGGCTGATGAAAGCAAACGGACCAGCCGCTGTGGCGGTCAGAAGCTGGCCGCGATCATACGCTGCAAAGCTACCGGCCATAACAGCCTCGCCCAAAGCCTGGAGCGCGACCGAAGCCTGTCCGTAAGGGCCACACATAATCATATCCTGGTACACCATGTCCGCTGTCTGGAACGGGCTACCGAAGTACTGATAGAGTATAATCGTGTCGAACGCAGCAACGACGGCAAGGCCAGCCCCGACTTCGAGGTAGGAGATGATGATGGCAGGGACCCGGAGGCGGGGGCTGATACGCGCTAGGTGACATATAACCCCACCGCCTGCGGCAGAGGTCAATATTGCAAGGAATGGCATCAGCATGTCGGCCTGTACGTGTCGTGTGCCCGACTGCTGCATCTTGAGGTGCATGAATGGGATAACCATACAGGCGATCATGTCCATGCCCGTGTTTACCCACCACAGGATGTAGATGGCCAGCCCAGCTGTGTCTCCGTATTGGAAGACAGCCATCTGGAGGATTGAGGTGAAGGTGATGGGGATGCAGCAGAGGCAGGATGTTTCGGCGCTGTTGTTCCGTAGCTGGTGTAGGACATGTCTTGGGTGTAGGAATGTGCGTAAGAGATAGAGGATGAGGAATAAACCGAGCTGGACGATGGTGTAGATCCATACGATCGTCGCAAGAGTTGTTAGCCCATTGAATTGATATTTCAGTCGATAGAGTATTACCGCTATTATCCCCGTTCCTTGGGGAACGATGAACCACAGCGATGAGAAACTCCACAGGGCGCGAGACAACGGGCTCGCTGGCGGAATGAGGCCTCGCTGATCTGACATGTGTGGCTGTGTGCGATACGCCCCCTAATTGGAGCGTGAGATTGAATTGATCATGTCTTTGATGAATCCGAGGATATCTAGTTACCTAGGTTCGGTTAGTCTTGACGTCATCCCAAACTAAAGCTAGGAGCTATCTCCAGATCACTCAATTGCTTCATTTTTTGTTAAAGATAATCTTCAATTTCTTTTTTTTTTTTTTTTTATTTGATTCGAGCAATACTGTGAATGTCAGATACAGATGTAAGCAAATTGGCTGCAATCCAATAATTTCGAGATGAGTTGCGCGCAGATCCAGAGCCACCTCATTCCATAAAAAATCATAATTTCGAGACGAAAAATTGTCCAAACCACCATGGCCGACCGAATCAAGAATACTCCTCCGAAGCATATGTCTAGTTCCCCGATACCAGGCGAACCCATTCAAATCTCAGCACTTTTCTCCCGAGAAAAACCCATCATCGCTGTAACCCCGTGTAACGCCAGCTCCTCCTTGTGTAACGCCCGTGTTCATTCCAGCAAATATCCATTTAATTCGTGAGCGTGAGAAAGGGGAAAGAAAAGGAGAAGTTAGGAGCTGCTCCCTGTGTCTTTCGTGTAAGTGTTGGTGTTGGTGTCTTCGGTGTAAGTGGGGGGGCGATAGTAGCCCGGCCCCGCTGGAGGATCTAATCAACAATGTCAGTGGGAGGATCAGATCAAGAGATCACAGGAACATACAACGAGACTCCAGATCTCTTCCACCCCAGGAGAGCTGCCTCAGACTGTCAAACCCTCGAGCTCGCACTTCAGCCATGTAGACCTTCTGCTCGTAGCCAGGACTGAACGGGGTCTCTCCTTCAGCGGGGTTGTAGTGCTTAAAGAGCGATGCTCCCAGTGCAGTTGTTGCGAGACAGGCGACGAGGACGATGACAATGATGGCTGCGTTGGAGAGCCCCATTGTGAATAGAATAAGAAAGAAGGCTTGAGTAAGATTGGGGAATTGCAGTTAATGTTGCTATGGCAGTTTGAATCGCAAGAGGTGGGTCAGTGCATGATGGAGAGAGCCTCCGTGATCTGGGAATTGTAGATGCCTATGCCCAGGTGCTGGACTAGGCTACAGATGAAACGAGAGTTGAAGAAAGAGAGGGGATGAAAGAAAAAAAACAAAAAACAAATAAACTTCTAAGCAAGTGCCCGATACCTCAGATTTACAATCTGATGTGTTGTCTCTATACGTAACCATCCTATTGGCCATGTTTTTCCTAGCACACATGTAATGTTTAAACACCATGTACTTGATTTCCTCTGCGACTTCTTGGCCTTCCATTTCCATCTTAGTGCTCAGACCTTGCCGCTTTTTGCTCACTGAGTACAACTGAGCACGTCCCTGAGTATTATATAATCACCAGGCTTGCCCAGGTGCTCACTGAGCATCACCTAAGCAGCCTGATCCATTACTGAGCACTAACTAGCAAAACCCGGGAGCAGCGAAGTCAGCAGCTCACCTCAATAAAAATGCACCACGCTAGCCCCATCTAAATGCAGTTGTTCACCAGAACTCTTGACCGTTGCCCCCTCAACGAAAGGCTAGCGTCATCAATTTGTCGGCAAATTGATAGTGGGGCCACATTTATTAGGTTTACTATTCTACGCTATGCCACTATTCAACGGCTATGCCACTATACAACTCGCCGAGCCTTACATCTATCTATAATACCGTCTCGATATAGTTACGGAAAATATCTAACCCTCAATTTTTGGTTCTACAATATCTAGGAATATCTTAGAAAACCCAATTGGATAGTTTGTAAATTCAGTTTATTATTTTATCCAGATTTTTTTTTCCACTTGAATAATAACAGATTATTGCTCTTACTTCTGCTCTTACTACTAGCCGCTTACTCCTAGGAATACGACTTCAGCTCTAGCGATAGTGTAATCCCACAGTACGTGGACACCTATATATATATATACCACTGCAGTTGAACTGAGTTCCATAACTCAGTTTGGCTGTGCCTTTTTAGCTTAATGAGTAAAAGCCCGGAGTAGTGGCCAGTTTGTGATCTCAATAGATATCCACAAAAATATTCTAGACCCATCAATCATGCCTACTAGATGATCTAACTAGCAATTAGAAAATAAATTATTCAAGCTAAAGTCTGATAGGACTTCCTAGGAGCTCTCGGACCTTTCGTGCTACTACGATGTGATTGGTGAGATGATATAGATCCTAGGAACTTAAGTGCTCATACCTATTCGCGAGAGCTGTGACTGCTAACGCCGAGAGTCAAAGAATATAAAAGAAACGCTGATCCCTCTGAGAGTGATATATCCAAGTTTCAAGCATTTCTCCTCAAGACTGCTCATAAGTTCAAGCAACCGTCGGCCTTCCGGGTCTGTCTCTTTCCAGCCCCTCAGCCAGAGCAAAACGCCTAATTATTATGCAGATTTTCTGATGCTGCGAAGAAAACCGACAGCCTGGTCGAGAATTTGCAGGGGGCCTGTGGCTGACTGAATTTAGTAGCAGAAAATCTGTTGAGGCCTGAGAGAGAACAGATCCTAGCTTGTTCCCCGGGCTGATTACACGTACTAAGCTCACTTTACTTGCCCATGCTCTTTTTGTCATTTACCCAGACGCAAATAGCGTGCTTTTCCCGATTTAGTTAGACCAACGATAGCCCCTCGAGAGGAACAAATCGTACAAACGACTCTTAGCCCACGCTCTGCCGACGACCGTGATCGAAAGATCCTGAGAGAGCGTGCTGTCCGTGCTGTCCCTTCTATAATCCGGAGGCATATGTCGTATGATGATCTTAAAGATTTTAGCGCTTTCCCGCTCTGGTTTGTCGGTAGCTGCAGATACAGCTTGGCGCCAGTCATCGCGGCTGTCGGTATGGTGTGAGATCCACCTGGCTCCGGCCACACGGTTGTGTCTCGCCGCACAAGTCAAGAGATTTCCTGAAAGCTCTAGGTGACGGCTCCAGAACCAATGTAACATTGGTTCAGGGTTACCAGGATGAAGGAATTGCGGCATCTCTGTCCAATGTCCTCACAATTTGATTCGGAGCTTGTTATCAAATGAAGTTAGCGCGAACTTAGTTTATCTACACACAAGCCCGGTCGAATCTGCAGGTGGGACTGAGCGGAATTTATTCCGGAAAATATCGCTGGGATGATTTGGCTTGTTCCTGGAGCCAGCCTATTTTTAATACCATGCTACCACACCACCAGGCTTACGATGCACAACTACAGGCTGTCAGTATACATATTATCTAAATACATACATACGTAAAGCGCTATACCCACGTTGTTCACACATTTATCCACCTCTCCCGCTTCTTCTCCTGGGTATCGTTGCTTGTTGAAAGCTTGGCACTTTTATCACTGATAGGCTAATGGCTACCTAGTGGACAAGCTAATATTAGCCTCTAAGCCGCAGTTACATGAAGTTGCTATTGCTATCCACTTACTGATAATTCTCACCGACGCGCTCTGAAAAGAGCGATCACTTCCCTATTAGCTTCGTATTCTTATTCCACGCTGCTTGTTAATCTATATCGGCACCTCTAGGCCCCGTCGGGAACCCGGAGGGCTGGAGTTTGTGTCATTTAGCATACATGGGAAACAGGCAATGCAATTGATCTAATACTCTACGGACTATGTATGGATGTGACACACGCAATAGGCGTGCAATTGGGGCATCTGGGTGCTTGTGATCTGATCTGAACTTGCCGGCAGTTGCGCGAATAAAATGAATATCTTCAGGCTACGGTTCATCCTGAGTTTATCTATCGGTCTCCGACGGCATTATAAGATATGAGGTGATTTTACACTGTGAACGATGCGTTAAGTGTGCATTTTAGTTCGGGCACTTCGGGACTTTTGTCTCTTATTTTTCAAGGAAGCTACAAATACGCATGATAGCTAAATAAGCTGCATCTTCCCTAGGGTTATCTCGTTATTCATAAAGTCAAGATACCTCCAATTCCTTCCACCAAAGACTTTAATCATCCAATTTGCACTATGAAGTTCTCGACCACTATCCTCGGCGCAGCGTTGCTCACAACGTCGGTCATTGCTACTCCTTTCACCGAACGCCGCGCAGCTCGCCATGCTGCCCGAGCTAACCATACCGGCCGTCCTGCTTCTAAACTAGACACCTTGGAGCTTGCTAGCCCGGGTGGAACAAGCGACACGGAGTATAGCACGAACTGGTCCGGTGCTGTACTTCATGGCACCGGGTACACCTCGGTCACTGGCGAATTCACCGTTCCTAAGCCGAAACTTCCCTCTGGTACTTCGCCTTCTGAGAAGACTTGCGCCTCTGCCTGGGTCGGTATTGACGGTGATACTTGCAACTCGGCTATCCTGCAAACTGGAGTTAATTTCTGCATCCAAGGAGACGAGGTTTCTTACGGTGCCTGGTACGAGTGGTACCCGGATTTTACCTACGACTTTTCCGACTTCCAGATCTCCACTGGGGATGTGATTAAGCTCACTGTGACTGCTACCTCCAAGAACTCCGGTTCTGCCGTCGTCGATAATGTGACTACAGGCAAATCTGTCACCCATAAATTCGCTGGTGTTGACCACGATGGAGATCTCTGCGAGACCAATGCTGAATGGATTGTCGAGGACTTTATGACCGGCGGCAAGTTGGTTCCGCTTACCGACTTTGGAACTGTGACATTCTCAAAGGCAGAGGCCATATCTGGTGGCAAGACTGTGGGACCATCTGGGGCAACTCTTTTCAACATTAAAAAAACACAGGGTGTCTTGACCAAGTCTTCTATTACCCGCGATAGTGTTACTGTGAGCCGTGTCTAAGGTACGACAGGATGGTTCAATCAACCCCTGCCGCAGCATTAGGAGATTGGAAACGCAATACTGGACTGCACTGGTGGGCTAGTGAGGGTTGCGATATTGCAGAGGAAGCATCCTTTTTGAAAAACGATGGGAGATGATACTTATATGTGGTAAATACGTTGGAAGCAAATTGAAATTCATCTCGCACTTTGACTTGGTCTCTCCTTCACTTTGATATCTTCATTTCTTTCCAGTCTGCCTCCTTAGTAGCGAACATAGCAGTTTCTCTGCTTGATAGATGTGTATTGACTAAAAGGGGTCTATCGGTCATTGTACGACCTGTGCGTTCGAGGGCAGGTTAAAGTGGTCTATGGCGATTGTTTTACGTGAGAATCACCCAAGTCGCGCGACCACTGACTGCATTGACCCCTTCCGCTAAACAATGACAGAACATCATTGGATCGTCCCGTTTCCCTTGAAACGCTCGGCATCTTGGCATCTGCACGTAACTCCAACTAGAAGCATCGTACTATCAGGTTTCTGTCTATCGCGTTATTCTTTCCCACCTTGCCTCTCCCGACAATATTAAACACACGAAATATGTGAGAGAGATTGTTACTCAAATTCGGAACCAGATAGACTCAGATGTCCGTAGCTACATATGAATAAATATTATCTATCAAGACCGAGATCTGAAGTTATCACGCATTTTCTTCATGATCATCGAAAGGAAATGGGAAAAGACCGCGGTTTTCTCCATCTCAGTGCTTGAATGTTCCATCAAACCATCTTTGATGCTCTGGATGATAGCCCTCCACCGTTCAAGCCCATCCTCACCTGAAACCCAGCCTAGGGCACCTGTTCTAATTAGATCCTTCATCTTACCCAGTTCCTGTATTTTCTCTTGTTATTAGCGACGATCCTCCGAACATTTCTGGACTTTTCCTCGGAAAAGTGAACTGGACACTCGACAGATCTCGTTTGTGCTCCTCCATCCAGCGACATGGGCCAATTATTGAGAACCTGTAATATGGCATACTTCAACGAGACAGAGTCTCCTTCCTAGGGAGCCTATGCATGATAAAATAAGCTTCGCTCGAAGCATATAGTTTTCGGTTCTGATAGCGTCAAAAAAACGAGGTAGAGATTTTGTAGTCAACGCAGTATAATATAAATGGACAATCCATCTCTTGAATAGTTCCCTGTTCTTTATAGCGGAGTTGATCGTAATTGTTTCCACACCTTGGCGGTGATTCGACCGGCAGGATCCGATGGTGCGAAGGCATCGCCGATTCGAGTTCGCTTACGGTTCTCGGTCGGTAATTGGCTGGGTCGATGGCCGTTCTGGCTTGGAGATCTTCGGTGAAGCTGGTGATGGTTTCTTGGGTGTTGAGGCTCGGGCCCTCCCGTCAGTGGATCTGCCATCGGGTGATAGCCCCACCCGGCAGAGGAAATATGTTACGCACCGTGACCTACATCAGTGTATCCACCAATTACAGATTGTGTCGCATTTGACAAAACCAAGCCCAAAAATAGCACTGACGTGGCTTTGATATCGGATTTAGTTTAAAGCTTGTCATCAAGTCTACGTAAGAATCTTATTGGTCAATTCAAGTGTACATAGCAACTTGGAGGAATAAAATTTGAGATTCAGTATACACAAGTTGGAAGAAAAAGAAAAATGTCCTCAAAGGGAAAAGAATGAAAGAGCGGTGCTCCCGTAGGCAGCAGCCAAAGGCAGTGGTTTGCACCGAAACTTTTATTAGCACAATGATCGGATCCATGAATCGTCTACAAGTTAATATCCACATCTCGGTCAAAGAGAAGATTATGGCGATATAATTAATAATCAGTACGTATCATTTCGACTTGAACCCTTCTAGATTCATTCATGTTATAACTATAACAATAAGCAAAACATACCCTAATAACATTGTCAGTAGTGCTTAATCACACACTCACCAAAGAAAAAAAAAATCATCGATATCCGAGAAAACAGCTGAGAGTTAGTCAAGCTAATCAAGGTAAGTTATCAGACATCCTCAATATCGAACCGAAGGTTATATTTACTCGAGTTTTCACCGGTCTCGCATTTCACGATCCGTGGAATCCGTTTCACCCCCTGACCATATGCACACAAGACAAAGGCCGTCACAACTTTACCAATGGGAGTACCAAGAGTACCACAAGTCTCCGGCGAAGGAGACTCCCAAGTTTGCGGCTCCCTGGGCAGAAACTCAAGTACTGACTGGGATTTGTAAATATGATCTCGAAGGAAGGGATTGGTGTGCTTTCGACGAATATCAGTAACAATAACGTACTGCAGGGTTTCTAGGGGAAAATGAGTCTCATAGAAGGCCTTGGAAAACTCAGACATGTAAAAGTTTGTGAGAATCTGCTGTCTCCTGAGATCGTCTATGAACTTCACATCACGCCTGGTCCTGTTCGACCAACCCAAAGTGTAAGATCGCCTTTGTGTTTAACGGCTTATTGGAATCGATAAATAGCTTCCTGGTTGATTGTTAGGTCATCAATTGGCAGGCCAAAAATATCGGCCTAGTACCTCCACTCGTCTTCAAGGAACTGCGCGCCGATACCGACAAGCCAGACCTTAGGATCAATGCCTTCGATTGTAAGTGTGGTTCTAGGAATAGGGCATCCGGGCTCATCGGCACGCTCCATCTATCGCTGTAAGATATCGCCCTGTGGTTTAAACTCGGGGCACTGGGGGGGGTAACATTGCGATGGAGTTGGCTCTAAGCTCACTGAACCAGTTGAGGTCGAGGGATGATATGGAAAGTGCTTACTTAACGACTCAAGTCTCTTGTGAGATTGTTGATAGTTATTTTGAGCTAAATGATGCAGTGCATCAAGTATGCTTACATAGTTTTAGTCGGCTGAATATAGGAACGAAAGAATCAAAGAGCATAATCAGAGCCATTGTGTAAAAGGCGGCATAGTAGGGACCAATAAGCTTGGGAAATTAACAAAAATAAAAGAATGAACAAGTCGAAGAGTCTTTCGAGTAGTGTTGCAGGGATGAAGTGCTCGTCAGCAGATGGAGTAATACACCCATTCGAAAATGTGATCCGTCCCCTAAATGGTGTTGGCCTGCACTATACAGAATCATTCATAGACCCTATCAAATTCAACATAGAGATTTTCTTGCGTTCTGATTGTTAGCCTTGGAACGGATGTCATCGTCCAGCCTGGCCTGGTCGATGATATGCCGCCTTGGTTTCCAACCCCGTTCCTGGTACCCATCCCGGTCTCGTCTTGGTCAAGTGACGGAGTGACATCTTCTGATCCCGAAGAATTTGTCCACATCCTCCTGCTTGGGTCCAAGCCCGGGCATGGCTTCTTCGCTGTGTTGTTGTTCATCGGTGTTTGGTGTTTCGTACAAGTCCCCTGGGCCTTGATTGCTTACCAACGGCAATCGTACTCCGGGCTTGATACCTTGATTGAGTGGACTCTTAAGGTTCTCGAGGGCCAACCGCAGATTGCACGTGTGCAATTTGTGGCCGAGGACGATTCATCTTCCTTTGACGAGGAGATGGATCGTCTGATCGCGGGCCCAACGGAAACGGACGAGGAAATTATTTCTTGGGTCATGGCTGCAGACGATTGTCTTGAATCTGTGTCTCATGTGTCGGTTCTCTCTCAGTCTGGAGGTATCTGGGTCCACCGGATCGCCAAAAGCCTGGGAGATGAGCATGCACCGGACCCAGAATCGATGTGCAATACCACTGACCCGGTGAACACTACGGATGACGCTCGCATGGACTTGGTCTCTCGGCATCCCTGGAACTCGATTGTTCTCTACGCCTCCGGTCATGACGATTCTCCAGCTCCGGCTGAGAGTCCGATTGGCAACGGTGCGGAAGATGAGCGTCCTGATTCCACCCCGGCGTACTTCAGCAGGAAGAACCGTCCGTCGCAAGCAAAAAGACATCGCGAAGGAAAGAGAGCACGACAGGAAAAGAAGGAACTAGAGCATTCCAATGTTTTAGCCTCTTACGCTTCCAGTGCTTCTCTTACGATGTCTCCGAGCTCGACGCCTTTGTCGGCTTTGGCTCCGGTCTTCCCTCCTGGTCGTCTGGCGGAGCAGGATGAGCTGCAGAGTGGTCCTCCTTCTCCAACTCCCTTGTTCGCGAATGTGGGCATTGATCCTCCTGCGGACTGTGGTACGACTTCGCCCGGTAACAACGCTCTGCCTCGGCCGTCCCGCCGCCGCCGCCGTCGACAGCGTCATGCCTAGACGCTTAGGTGGAGGTGGGACATGTACCAGCAAAAAATGTGTCTGAGTGGGACAACCTTGAAGGAACCCCTCTCTTCGGAGGGTTGTTTAGGTCCATCTTGGCTGTCCTGCAGCGCTTTTGTTTGCTGGGTACAAAGCTGTGGTGGGGCCGCGCCGAGCGTCCTCAGAAGCTTTTTGTATGGTGGTTGGGTTGGAGATTGAGTTGACTGGCCAATATGTAAGTAAACCCCCAACCCTTTTTGAGACACCAGCGCTGACAATCTTACTTTAGGCTTCAAAAAAAAAAAGAGAGAGAGAGAGAGAGTGAGAAAATGACGACAGAAAATCCTACAAAAAAAGAGTTCTGCTCTCACTTCACTTTCACTTCACTCTCATTTTCACTTGAGGCGAGAGGTCTCTCTTGCGACGTTATTGTCTCACGCCGCTTTTGCTTTGCTTTTTTGTTGCTTGGGCTCTGGGATTTGCCCATTTGACTTCTGTTCTTCGGCCCTCGACCACGGCCACCCTTACAAAACATTCCTTCTCTGCGCCTCATTGTCCAATCGAGGTTCAGTCCAAGGCATTAAAAAAAAAGAGTCGCATCGGTCAATCCTTTTCCACGGCGAGTCGATTGAATCTACTCAGTCGACCATCTTGCCTTCTTCGAGTTTATCATCTTCTCTTCGGGCTCGTTCACCCTCATCTGCATCAATAATTAAACAGACTCTCGCGCGATCGTGCTCGTCATGGCCTCTTGGGGAGAGGCTCAGATCGAAGACACAACTTGATCGTCTTTCATATGTCTTCAATTCAATCCTGCTGGGTTCACATCGACTTTTGTGAACAATATTCCATGTGTTCCATTCCTCACCACAGCCTTTCGGTAACGAGGTTCTGACAGGTCATTCCTTCGACCATCCTTTGACAGGACAACAATCACCAAACCTGCCTGGTTCCATACTCCAACTACTTGACCCCATGGTCATTCTCATTTGCTCAATCATTCAACAACATGCAACCAGCATCAGTTTTTCCACACGGCCTCCGGGGGGAGGACCTGACTGGAAAAAACGACAAAACTTCACACTCTCTACATCGGGCATCCTCTTTCTTATACGTACATCAGCATTCCCGGCACATCATCGGCCAACTCTATACTTCTCTCCTGTTATCTAGGGGAGATCTCGGCTAGTTAATCATCTTGCTGGTGGTTTGTGGGACGGCAATTCACCCCGCTTGTGCATTCGACACTGTGCCGTGAACACCACTCGCCATCTTTTGCATCGGTCACCTCACCAAACCTTCATTGCTGCAAGGAGAGGAAAAGAAAGACCTCCACTGAGCTTACGGGACGGCTTCAATTGGACGAACATTGCGAGAAAACAAATCAATTCGTCATCAATTTACCATCACCACAAATCTGCTGGTCAATTCAGATCGAGCTGTTCTCCCCCGGGCTACGAAACAAGCCTTTGCTGGAACAAAAACGCCATGAGCATCAATCGGAACTTCGACTTCAATCATACGTCCAGTCAAATTTGACAACACCAAGAGTCGATCTTCAGTCCAATTCCGATTCAATTGTCTCAACTTCCTTCCAACGATTGTCGCACATTACCTCACTGGAAGATGTGAACCACCACCAATGATTTTGTACTCTGCCATTGCGGAGCAACTCCCAAATTACAAATCTTCTTAACAATGTACTCATCAGCCAATTCAACCTGCTTTCGGGCTTCTTCCTTTCTCCCGACGGCCCTTGAGCTAAGTCTTTGCTGGAGGAGCCTCTTGAAGACCATTGATATCTTTTGTGTCTTCACTGGATACCCACTTGCTGTGTTCGTCAATTCCATTCAACACGTTTGTTACTCTCCAGACCCCGAAACAGGTCTCTGGATGATCCTCTTGACGTCCACAATCACTTTCCATGTGCGGCAATTTTGCTTGATAAGCTTTTCCTGACCATGGATAAGGTTTCCTCTGGATTGACATTCCGTCAACCTTCGGAATCACTTTCAACCCTTATCCTCCCCGGGCATCCAAAAAAATCCCTTCATAAAATGACAATAACAAATATCCTTTCCAAGAAGCTGGAAATTGTCGGTATGCCATGGTCGTCTAAACTTCGGTTTTACATTTACTGACTGTTAGGGCTTTTTCCAGGACCTGTGACTCCTCCATCGATTCATTCGTCCTCCCAGCGTTTCCTTTCTTCAACCGGTTAAACTCCGGGTTTGGTGTATGGTCTACGGATCATGATGGGATATGAATTATGGGACATGGTACAAAGGGATATTAAAACTGGGATGAGCATGCATGTCATGTTCTAGGCGTTGTGCGGGTTTCTTGTGTTTTGTTTGTACAGATCTGGCATCCATTGCAACTGGGTGGATCTTTTTTTGTTGTTTCAGTGATACCCCCCAAATCATAGCCTTTTTTTTTAGTTGGTTTTCGATTGTCTTTTCACCTCGGTCAATTGAATACTATTGTTTCGTTACTATTAGTGGTTGCTTCTGTAAGAGTCCTGTTCAAGAGCAGCCGTGCTCCAATTATACTAAACTCAAAGGGAAAGGAAACTTGTCAACTCAGCAAGCATTTTCCCCTGAAGATGCTCTTTGTATAAAGGAGTGACGGGCTACTACTATAACGATGGCTTTTTTGAGTGGCAACAGGGCAAACAGTGGGGAACTCATCATAAAGGGACCTCTATACGGCCACTTAGTATATCAGGACTGCTACCCATTATGGAAACAGATACGAAGCAACATACATAGTAGTTAGGTAGTTACTACATAGCACCACTTGATGGCGTCGTCTAAGGTACATCATCTACATGATTTAATACATATGACTATCACGCTGGAAACAAAGATTTGTTTTAATAATTTGACAGTGATCCTAGATGGAGAATTGGACATATGGTAGAAAAAGCTACATGACATGGCACTTCCCCTTTCGTTTACGACCCCGCTCCTTAATTGTGTTATCGTTCCAATCCTGAATGCGCCGGCGCCATTCCTCATTTGTTGGCGGCGGTAAGCTAGAGGGTTCGGTTGAAACCCGCCTTTGGAAAGACCTTTGCCTCTGAGGTATCTCATGCTCGTCATCTACTGCAGTTCCCTGCCCGTCTTCATATGGCTGTGGGATATGGAGAAGGTTTGGCGATGATACAGAGTACGGGAAGTAGGCATCACCAAGTGCATCGCCCAGTGCCGAGGCCCTCAAGTATGGAAGAGGCAGCGTGTTTTCTTGTGGGTGTAGTTCGGCTGGATATACAGCAAACGTAGGCGTGGTGGGTTGGATCGCCGTAGGTGGACGCGAAGCAGATCGAGGCTGTTCTGGTGGGAAGTTGTTCGTGAACGAATCTTGGGGGACCAATTGCTCTGGGTTAAAGTCTCTACCAATGGAACTTCCCCTACGCCTAGCGCCAGTCACTGTGCCTAGGCTCTGGAAATTGACAGATTGTGGGCGTGGGCGAGTTAGTTGCTCGGCGACACGAGCGGTTTCTCCTCTTTCGGGTTGCAGGGTCGAATTGGCGACATTAACCGGGGGAAGAAGCGTTCGCTGTAGATCATCTGGCAATGGGTCCACCGTCTCGCGTTTGTAAGGAGGAGGAGGTGGCACCCAATTATCGGCGTCACTCTCATGGGGAATCTGTCGGGGGTTGTGGGAATTACGATATCGAGGGTCGTATCGCCCACGGGTTGATGCAACCACAGTAGCAGCTCGGTGGAGAACTTCACTGGAACGAGGCTGCGTATTGTCATATGGAAGGTCGATTATATCGGCTCGAGAAGTCTCGGTTGGTGAGGTGGGAACTGCAAGACTGTTGCGGCGGAAGTGAAGTGGCAGAGCTCGGGATTCTCGAGTAATTGTTGAATTACCACGGGCTGCGAATGCTGTAGCAGTATCGCCACGATGTAGTCGTGTTCGCCTTCTTTCAAGCTCAACTTCCGTGTCCAAAGAGGAGTCCGGCTCCATAAGAATCTTAGGTGCCGTTTCTCCGACTTCGATGTCAAGTTCAGTTGTTTCACCATTCATGGTAGAGCGCTCAAAATCAAGGAGGAGAATTCGACCACCGTCAACTGGGATATCTTCTTCACCAAAGTTCTGTGAGCGCACACCACCAGGCGCTACCGCGACGAGTCTCCGACGGCGTCTTGAGTCTGAATGTACCCAATGAGCGGATGTAATACCGTGCATGTCACTCACCCGCCGCCCCCGGATCAAGATTTTAGGTTGTTGAACGATCTTCTGAAGCTGTGCTAGATTGTCGCGAGGCGCGCAACCTCCATAATGATGACCACCACCAACCTGGGTACCAGTGATTTCACCAGCGCCCAAGCTAGGCATCCCATATATCCACAGTTCTGAATCTTGGAACCCCAATGCAGAAAGTTCTCCCGCATCATCTATGGCGGGTCTCATGCTTGGTCGCATTTCCCGAGACTCATCTGCGAGAAATGGACTGGCGAAATAAACGATTCCCGCATTATTGTTTAATTGAAGCGCCCTAAACGCTCCCAATTGTTTATCATATCCCATCACCCAGTGATCATCAGCTTCCTCTTGGCCAGCAATAAGGGAGACGTGAGTGATATGACAAGGGATTGTTTCAGGAAAGAGGATTTGTGTTGTCCACATTCGCATCTCGAGTTCTCCGGGCGAGGCGTCTGTTCCGGTCTCAGTATAGAAAGGAGGAGTGATAGTGACGATATTTTCAGCTGTAAATCCAAGAAGCATCGCTCCATCCGGTGAAAATGAAAGTGCATCGACACGGGGACAACGCACCGCCCGGCGGTCGGTTGGCAAAGCCTCTTCACCCACAGCGTATACCTCGATACTATCCTCGAAGGCTAATGCTAGCACACTACCTGCTGGAGAGAATTTGATATCCCTTGGAGCATCATTCAGTGTGATAACTTGAATGTGCTTAGCTTCATCATCAGAGAGCCGGTATATATGAACTCGATGCGTAGTAGATAAAACAGCAATGAGAGAGCTATCATCACGGATTGTGG